TAATTTGAGAGGTCCCTGAATGCAGACTTAGACTTACCAGTGCCATACATCTCCAGATTTCCTGACTGCAGGTACCAAGGATGTTGATTGTGGATCCAAAAAAAGATGAAGTTGTTGACAACTTGAATCTTTTCTCCATCTATCATGATGGTGCCTATTTGTCCAATAGTAAGAATTTTTGTTTTCTTAATGTTGAGATACAATTTTTATTGAAGACTGTATTCTTTGATCTTTTGTAGCAAATGCTTCAAAAGTCCTCCTCACTTTCTGCAAGCAAGGTTTTGTGTCATCTGAATAACTCAGGATATTGATGAGTCTTCCTCTGATCCTGATGCCATATTCATCTTCATAGAATCCAGCTTCTTGAATAATTTGCTTAGTACGTAGATTGAATAGGTATGGAGGAAGAATATAACCCTGACAACCCCTTTCTTAATTTTAAACCATGTAGTGTTTTCTTGCTCTGTTCACACATTAGCCTCTTTATCTAGGTACTGGTTTTTCATGATCGTAATTAAGTGCTCTGGGATTCCCATTCTTCTCAATAACTTGCTAGGATCCACACAGTCAAATGCCCTTGCCTAGTCAATAAAACATAAACAGATATTCTTCTGGTATTCTCTACTTTCAGTCAGGAATCCATCTGACATCAGCAATGATATTCCTGGTGCCATGGCCGCTTCTAAATCCTGCTTGATCTTCTGGTAGTTCCCTATCTATGTACTGTAATAGCTGTTTTTGAATTATCATCAGCAGTATTTTGCTTGCATGTGATATTGATGATATTGTTAGATAGTTTCCATGTTGTGTTCAATCACCTTTCTTGGGAATGGGAACAAATATGGATCTCTTCCAGCTGGTTGGCCAGACAGCTGTCCTCCAAATTTCCTGGCATAGCCTGGTAAGGGCCCCAGGGCTTCATCTGTTAGTTGAAACATGTCAATCTGAATCCATTCAATTCTTGGGGCCTTTTTACCAATGCCTCTCATGCAGCTTCAACTTCTTCCTTCACTACCATTGGCTGTTGTTAATGTGGTACTTCCTGAAAACCTTATGAAATGTGTTAATTAGGTTATATCAGTGTAGGATGTATCTTAAAACTAATGAGGAAACAATTGGAAGAGTACAACTGACAGAGAACTACCAGAAATACAAGCTGGGTTTAGAAGAGGCTGTGGCACTAGAAATATTATCTCCAATGTCAGAGGAATCCTGACAGGAAGCAGAGTGTTAGAGGAATGTCTATCTGTGTTTCATTGACTATGCAAAGGTATTTGGCTGTGTGGATCACAACAAATTGTAGCTAATATTGAGAAGAATGGGAATTCCAGAACACTGGCCTGTCCTCATGAAAAACTTATACTTGGGACCAGGAAGCATTCCTGAGATTAGAGCAAGGAAACACTGCATGGTTCAAAATCGAGAAAGGAGTGCATCAAGGATGCATTCTGTTTCCATATCTTTTCAATCTGTATTCAGAACAGATCATTCGGCAAGCTAGACTTGATGAGGAGGAATGTGGCATCAGGATTGGAGGAAGACTCATCAAAAATCTATAATATGCAGATGAAATAACTTTGCTTGCTGAAACTGAGGAGGGCCTGAAGACTTTGCTGTAGAAGACCAAGGACTGGACTGTGGTCTTCAATATGGATTGAAGCTCAACATCAAGAAGAAAAAGATTCTCACCACTGGGCCAACTGGCATCATCATGATAGCTGAAGAAGAGATCAAAGTTGTTAATAATTTTAGCCTGCTCAGCTCTACAATCAACACTCTTGGCACCAGCAGTAAGGAAATTTAAAAAAAAACCAACCCAAAACCCAACAAATAGCACTGGGGAAGTCTGCTGTCAGGGACTTCTCCAAAGTGCTAAAGAATAGTGATGTCAGTCTAGGGACTAAGGTGTGTCTGATCCAGGCCATGGTCTTCACAATTACTTGGTATCCATCAGTGAGCTGGACAATGACTAAGGATGACAGAAAAATAATTGGTACTTTTGAATTGTGGTTCTGGAGAAGAATCTTGAACACACCATGGACCACCAAGAGAAGTAACAGGTCTGTCCTGGAGAGGGTAAAACCAACTTGCTCTCTGGAGCCAAGGATTTTGAAGCTCCATCTCACATACTGGAGGAACCAGTCCTTGG